TAGTCGCCTAATCGCTTTGTTTGGGGTTTGGGTTTCCATTTTAGGGGTTCTGGATTTGGAGTGTCGTCGTTTTGTTACATGTGTTGCGATTTTGGAAAGTGGCAGTCAATGTCCCGCATCTTGCCAGATTCAGATGGCATGGGGCACTCATGTATATAAGTAGCACCGTAACAAGTAGGATCACTTGTAGCATCCTCATATTACGGACGCCTATACAGGAGCCCTTAACTTTCAGGTAACTTTTAGGAATTCACGCATCTTGTCCAGGTCGAGCGCTACCGTCCTCCTTACCCTCGTCATCACCACTGCATGTCTTTGCAAGTATCACTCTCAAAGCCCGAGCCCGAACTTTTGCACTTAAGACTTAAGATCGTGGTTATGGAGCCCTGATAGTCGGCATACATACATACATACATACATACATACATACATACTTACATGCATACATACATACGTACGTACAGCTAACATACATACTTTATATAGCCTCTAAACCCCTTAGACCATTCTTACAAGCTTGAAGATTTTGACCCTAAGAACCTAAGCCCTTACCATAAGATCGTCTGGATCAGGAGCCTTAAACCCCAAGTGAGTCATAAACGGCAGGCTTGGTGTCGAGAAATGACCTCGCCCAGCGAGAGTGGAGGTGCCTTGTGTGCGACGTCAGGGTTTAGGGTTTACAGTTATTCAGTTACCATCCTGGGGATATACCGTATGATAGGGTATCCTTATCTTAGTAACTATAGTAACCTTATTATAGTAACTATGGTAACCTTATTATAGGAAGTATAGTAACCTTATTATAGTAAGTATAGTAACCTTATTTTAGTAACCATAGTAACCTTGTTATAGTAAGTATAGTAACCTTTTTATAGTAACTATAGTAACCTTGTTATAGTAAGTATAGTAACCTTATTATAGTAACCATAGTAACTTAGTTGAAGTTCCTTAACAGCGACCCGATTTAGGGCTGACTTCGAGGCTCACGAGCAGGAGTTCGGATTTTGGATTGACGCCTTAGGACTGATGGCTTAGGGTTTAGGGTGTAGGGTTTAGGGTTCAGGGGTTAGGGTTTAGGGTTTAGGGTTTAGGGTTCAGGGTTTAGGGTAAGGGTTTAAGATTAGGATTTGTATTTAGTTGTGGCTTGCTGTAAGGAGCTACGAACTTCTGGGAAGCCTTGTAATGTATTTATATATGCAGGTTAGGTCGGATTCAGGACCCTTTCAGGCCAACGACCTCGGGGTTTCGGGCTTTGGGCGTGAGAGTCCAGGGTCGAGGTGGAGTTTTTGGAGTTGTTGGGGCCCAAAGCGGGTGGGGGGGGAGGGGCGGGGTAACACTAAACCCTAAACCCTAAACCCTAAACCCTAAACCCCGAGCCAGCAAAACATCAACCCTAAACCCCGAAACCCTGAGCCCTAAACCCGAAGCCACCAAAACCTAAACCCTAAACCCCGAAACCCCAAGCTCCGTACAGGTGTAGCCGTAGCCCCTCGACGCCCGAAGCCCGATACCCCATCGCCTCCGAAGATTCGGCCGCTGACGCCCTGAACCTGGAAGCTAAGACCTCAACAACACATGGGTAATTACACCAGGGTCTAGGGTTTAGGGTTCCGGGTAGTTCTCCAAATTAGGATCCCTTTTTAAGTCTCCAATATAGTACGGCACCCTTTTGAGAGTACCCTAAAAGTGACCCTAATTTAGAGAACGGCCACCCTTGAAGGCAACCTGAATCTTTCGCTTTAAAACCTAAGCCCTGAACCCTAAGCCCCAAACCTTAAAACCTAAACCCTAAACCCCTAAGCCCTAGAACCTACCCTTAATGGAGGGACACCGGGCTCTCTGACTTCTCAGGCCTAGCTGAAGATCTGCTTCTTTGGCTTCAGCGTGTGGGTGCGAACCGCTGACAAAAAGGAAACCACAAAAGAGCTTCCCCAACAGTCGAGGTAGAGTTTAGGGCTTAGGGCCTTGGGGCTTTGGGTTTTCAAGGGTGTAGGGTTTCGAGTTGAAGGTTTGCAGTGTTTCAGGCTTGACAGGTTAAGGTTCGTCGAGGCCCGACATCCCTCAGTTGAATTTTCCTCTTGAAGCATTTCTGTCTTGGTGTAAGGAGTGCTGCAGCGGTCTGAATTGCCAGTGGTATTCCATACTATCCTCTTGTATTCCCAAAACAAACCCCTAAACCCTAAACCCGTATTCTAATTATTGGGTCATGAAGGCCCCTGGACTAGACGCTTCTAGCGCCCTTATACCAAAAGCCGGAGGTTGTAAGCGTCAAGGATTTGGGGCGCTTCTGGGTAGTTCAGATACCGGCATCTCGAGGTGGAGGGGATCGAAGGGTTTAGGGCTTGTAGGGTCTACGGAGTTTTAGGGCTTTTGGGGTTTAGGGTTAGGGTTTAGGGAGTTTAGGGCTTTTAGGGCTTAGAAGTTGTGGGTTTAGGGGTGGTTTCGGGCTTTTAGGGCGAAGAAGTTCTGGGTTTAGGGGTGTTTTAGGGCTTTTAGGAAAAAGAAGTTCTGGGTTTAGGATTCAGGCTTGGGTCCGGTCCTATCGCACATCAGGAGCTACAACGGACCCGAGCCTCAGCCCCCCCAGCCCGCCGTCTTAAACTTTATGCCCGGAGCCCTCTGCGGCTTGGCGCTGCGAGAGCTGGGTTGAGGGTTTCGGGTTGTTGGGTTTAGCTTTTAGGTGTGTAGGGGTTTAGGGGTTTAGGGTTTTTCAGGGTTTAGGTTTTAGGGGTTTAGGGTTTAGGGTTTAGGGTTGTAGTGTTTAAGCTTTGGGGTTTGGGATTTAGAGCTTTGGGTTTAGGGTTTTGGGGCCTGTGCGTGTTGAAGGTGGCTGACGGTCTTTGAATCTGCAAAGCGGGGCTTTCAACAGTCTGGCATCCCTGCATCGATAGCATTGCACATATACGTAGATGGGTAGATAGATAGGCAGACAGACGAAAAGAAGGGCAGAGACAGACAGACAGACAGACAGACAGACAGACAGACAGACAGACAGACAGACAGACAGACAGACAGACAGACAGACAGACAGACAGATAGATAGATTTGCAGCTTCATTGCTACCCTAAGCCCGAAACCCTAAACCCTAAACTGAAACTCTGAATAGCTCAAGCCCTAAGCTTCAGCGCCGAAGAATCCCGAAGTGCAGACAGAGGCCCACCACCCGCTTCTGAGCCATGGCGACCGCGGAGGAGTTTGGAGCCTTTTTTGGATATGCCGGGATCCTCGCCTGCCACTAAACTCTAAGGACTCTAAACCCTAAACCCGAAACCCCAAACCATAACCCCAAAACCCTAAACCCGAAGCTCTAAACCTCTAAGCCTTTTACTGCCTCGGCGGAGCGAAAGGACCATTGCGCTTTGAAAAAAACCCTAAGCCTGAAACCCTAAACCCTAAACCTTAAACCCCATAAACCCTTTTCTTCGCTTCCCGCGCGCGAGTCCAAGTCGGACCAGGAGCCGAGAAGGAACTCATGGGCCTTCGCCTGGAGGCACCCGGAAGGACCCGGAGAGCCCCACTTACCCCTTAGAAAAGGAATAGGGTTTAGTGTTTAGGAGTTTATAGGGTTTAGGGGTTTAGGGTTTAGGGTTTAGGACTATACCTTAAGAATATAGGAACCTTAATATTTAGGGCTTAAGGTAAATATTCCTCCATTCCCTTTATGGATCCCTTATAGATCCCTTGAAGGCAGCCTTAAAGGCATATTGCAGATAGAGAACGAAGTCAGCAGAGCTTCGAACCTATACGCCCTGTCGCTGAACACGGACGGAATCTGGCGCTGGAGATCGCGCAAGCAACAGGGTAAAAAGTCCAAGCGCCCTGATCGCTAAGACCAGATAGCTCACAATGAATCTTTGCTACGTGGTGTATGAGCATCCCAGAGAATCCCAAAACTCGGAGCCTTGCACTCTGAACCCCAATGCAAATCCTTTTGCAAGTAAGCCCTATATGGTAGAGACATCCCCGTACAAGGCTTATGCACATGTCCCATTTGGGGGCCCGAAATGCTGCATGCCAAACCATAAACCCACCCTACCCTGAGCTGTAAACCCGAAACCCAAAATCCTAAACCCTAAACCATCAAATCGACAGGCCTGTGAAGCTCGTGGCGGTGGAGCTTACAGAAGCCGGCTCTTTCGGGGACCAGTGGACGCCTCAGCCCCCATCATAGGGGAGTTGCGTAAGTTTAAGTTATCGGCCCATTTGAGTAAGGAAGGCACCCTAAATCTGATTCAGAGCATCTTTGTGTCTTCGGGAACATTCCTCCACGGTTTAGGGTTTAGGGTTTAGGATTTATCAACGATTTCGGTGTCTGTTGGTTTTTGCCTCGTAGTCATTCGTGAGAAATGCTCAGGGGTTCAAGCTTCTTTTAGCTTCCTGAACACAAAACCCTAAACCCTAAACCCTAAACCCCAGACCCTAAACCCTAAACCCTAAACCCCTAAACCCTAAACCCTAAACCCTAAACCAACCCGTAACCCTGACATCCTAAACCCTAATACCAAAACCTGAACAAGCAAACAAGCATGGGTGGGTCTTACTTAGTTTTCGGGTTTAGGGTTTAGGGCTTAGGGTTTAGGGTTTAGGGTTTAGGATGCGCGCTGTGCCTTTGCGAGTTTGGCACCCAGGCAGTCTCCGTCTTACTTGCATTTTCAACCAATGGCTACATTATGGACCATGGATCCCCAGAAGGTGCAGTCCAAAGCGACCGGCGGCTTCGTCTTGAGCTGAAGTTGAGGTTTCCAAACCACCCTAAAATCAGTTTAGGGTTTAGGGTTTAGGGTTTAGGGTTTAGGGTTTAGGGTCCGAAACCCCTCAAACTCCTAAACCCCAAAAACCCCAGAGCCTGACATCCGAAACCCCTTAAGCCCCATAGCCCTAAACCCGAAACCCCTCAGCGCCAAACCCAAAGCCCTGAAGACGCGTTGGGGGCCCTTACTGCCCCAAGCTTTCCTAAACCCTAAACCCTAAACCCTAAACCCTAAACCCCTAAACCGCAGGTACGGCGTCAAGGAGGTTCCTTACTGCCTGATGTACATGGGAGGCAAGCAGGTCTACGCCAAGAGGCGCAGCGGAAAGGGGGGGTTGAGGGTTGAGTTTGGGGTTCAGTTTAGGGTTTAGGGCTGACGGCCCCCACCCCAAGCCCTGAAATGGAAGCCAAAACCCTAAACCCTAAACCCTAAACCCAAAACCCTAAACCCTAAACCCTAAACCCTAAACCCTAAGCCAAAACTCTAAACCCTGAGCCCAAGAACGTAAATCTGACTGCTCTTGTCGAACAGGTGGGACTTTGGCTTAACGGCAGCAGTTTACGGGCAGAGGAGCTGCTTCCGAACCTTAGCTTCGAAACTCCCTGAATCCACGCTGTGATTCTGAGCTGTGTTGGGTTAGTAAACCCTAAACCCTAAACCCTAAACCCTAAACCCTAAACCCTAAACCCTAGACCCTAAACCCTAAACCCTAAACCCAGTTAGGGAGCTGTAGCATGCCATATCTCCATAGATAACCCTGTACAACCCTACCCGCCCATACCCCAAGCCCCTTGACCCCTGTCAGCCTAGCCAAAGCCCACGCCCAACACCTAAGTTAAGCGCGCAAGGCGGTACTTCCCAACACTCTTCCCCAAAACCCTAAGCCTCTGAACCCTTTGACTTGGGTTTGGTTGGGTAGATTTCTTCAATCCGCTTATCCTGTTTTGATAGGCTCCATGGCACTCGGATGGCACCCCGAGCCGCGGCGGCTGCAAAGCCGAAGGCCGATCTTGGGGTTTTGTGCTTTGGGTCTGAGAGGGTGTCATCGGTTTTTTTCTTTATCTTTATTCTCTCTCTCCCTCTGTACATGTGTATGTGTATATATTTATATCTGTGTATATGAATACAAAAACAGAAATAACAAGTAAATACATGAATAGATAACAAGCAGTGCATATATATATATATATATATATACATATTTGAGTTCAAATATTTGCATTTTTGTACTTATAATGAGATTAATGTTTATACTTATTCAATATGTATATTCATAGTTATATTCATATTTAAGGATTGTAAATGGAATCCGCAGCCCCGGACCCGACGCTCAGGTTTCAGGACGTCAGGGAATAGGGCTTCGGGTTCAGGTTTAGGGTTTAGGGTAGGGTTTAGGGTTTATGGTTTAGGGTTGACAGTGAACCCCTGATTAATTGCTGCACCAATCTGCAATTTTTTCCAGGTGCAGATTATATGACCGTCAACACCAAAGGCAAAGCCCTTAAAGTCATAGCCCAAAGCCCTAAGCGCGAAACCCCTGACCTAGCTTTTCAACAGAGCAGCCCTGGCAGAAACAGCCTATAACAAGCTTAGACTAGTCTGCAATATTTGATTATCACGTCGCACCAAACCCTAAACCCTAAACCCTAAACCCCGAAGTTAGAATCTTTTAGAGCGTGTTCATCCCTGCGCCATTCTACGGCCTTGAGTCCCTCACTCTAACGGAGAAGAACCTCAAAAGAATACACGCATACTGCATCTTGGATACTGCCCCCACTCAGTAACAGTTGGATAATATTCATAATATAGATATATAAGGCCCTTTATAGTAGCCCTATTATAGACTGTTACTGTCTGGGGGCAGTACCCAAACTATATCCGATACATGCGTAGAATTGTGGGTGTCAAAGCCTCCTATTACTCCCATGTCACTAGCCATGTGGTCTTGTGCACTGCAGGTTATCCTCGCAAGCCTTTCGCGCAACTTAACAAAACACAACTGAAGCGCCGCAATCAGCTGTTCCTCGCCAGCCCTGAAGAACCCGAACTCCACGTAGCTTTCAGTTCAGTGTTTAGGGATCGTATCAGGGTAAAAGGAAGACACCGAGGAATGCAATTTCCCAACTGGCTTGAGACCGCAACGCAGAGGTTTCACGTCGAAGATTGGAAAAACACTGGTAGAGGTATTCTGGGCCCTCATGTTGTATATGCTGAAATTAATGAAAGGATAAAGCGAGACCAGAAAATCTCCGAGACGGCGCCAATGCGCGCGGGACCATCGCGTGGCAGGGCTCCCTCATAAAACCCTAAAGCCCCCTCGTTGGCCCTTGTGCCCTAACGCTTTTGCAGGTGCTTCTTGTGGAGCCCAACCCCGGGAACCAGCTGAAGCTGGAGAGGCGCCCCGGCGAAAGAAAGACCCCAACTGTATCACCCTAAACCCTAAGCCCTAAACCCTGAACCCTAAACCGTGTCGCTGAGGTTCTCGGGGGAGTGAAAGTTTAGGACGTAGGGGTTTTGGGTTTAAGGCTTTGGGGTTCAGGGCTTTCGCGTTTGGGCTTTAGGGCTTTGGGGTTTCGCAGGACCCTCGTCTCAAACCTTAAATTTAGGGTTTAGCGTTTGAGGACCCGAAGATCCCACTCCCTGCAAGTGAAGAACCCAAAGTATGTTCAGGGTTTAGGGTTCAGGGTTTAGGGTTTAGGGTTTAGGGTTTAGGGTTTGGGGTGTTGGATTACAAGGAGAGACGATTAAACGCGCGGTACTTTGTTCACACTCAAGCCCAGCCTTCTAACGATGTTCGGGCCTATATAGGGCTTGCTAGGTATCAGTAGGTAGCAAGACGGTTTCTGCAAGGATCCCGTCACGTCTAAATCGATTCTTTTGTTTCTGTCTTGGTTGGTGTTCACGTTCTCGCAGTAGGGGCCTGCGTGCCTAAACCCTAAACCTTAAACCCTAAACCCTAAACTCTAAACTCTAAACCCTAAACCCTAAACCCTAAACCCTAGTCGCCTGGACTTCACCGTCTTTCCGGATGGCCCGACGGACGTGGACCAAGCGGTGGACATTTGGAGGCACATGCTCGGCATTGCCAGCTTCGGCAACCCGTCGAGTCCGCCAATCCATAGGGGTGGGCCCTTCATCCCGGATGACAGGGCGGAGTATATGGGTGAGGTTCTCAAAGGATACAACACCCAACAGCAGGCCTTCATGACCTTGGCCTTGCTCACGGCCATTCGAGCCCTGTTAACCGAGCTGGGTCAGATCTTGCATGCGGCCTCCCTCGTGGATGTGGTCGTGGAGGAAGATGACCCTCAGGGTGATGGAGCTGGCACGGGTCTGGTGCAACTCTGGACTCTGAGGAAGTTGGACCGCGAAGAGGGGGATGAAGCTGGCTTTGTGCAGATGGGTCAAGTGACTGCGACTGGGGTGGTGCAACGTCTCCAGCGAGCTTTGGAAGAGTCCCAGCCGGGTGTGGCCCGACTCAGGGCGGAGCATCTCCGGACAAGGGTGGCAAGGGCTCAGGCAACAAGCGCGGCATGCTCATGGGACCATGAGATCCTGGCCAGTGTGGATGCCCTGTGTTTGGTGATGACTCATGGGGACCAACAAGCGGAAGGGTTTGCAGCCAGGCCAGGTGAAGTGGAAGAATGGGGGTGGCATTGGTGGCAAGCTATTCAGCGGGAGATGGCCCCCTCGTCCTCTCCATCGTCGTTTCCATCCTCGATGGCGGCAAGGGCGAAACACGTTGTCGAGTCTGACGTGGACAGTGCTGTTGTTAACGAGCTGGCGGAGGAGGAGAGGCTGGCTAGGGCTCAGCGGGAGGCGGAGGAGGCCCAGGTTGACCGTTTTGAGCAGGAAGAGGAAGAATACCTGAGAGGGGTGGTCAGGCTCCATGACAGCACGGACGAGGAGATTGACAAGGCGAAACGCTACCAAATGTGGGACGACTGGGCCATGTACGATGAGATGATGAAGAAAGGAGCGCCGCGGAAACGGCGATTTGTTGAGGTGTCCCTTGGTGCAGGTGAAGGGCTGGCAACGATGGGTCAGGACACTTCTGCACCTTCAGTTGCGAGGCTGTGGGTGCCTGAAGGGCGGGACCTCAGGCTGTCCTTGCGTGTTGGCTATGCCAATGAGGGCCACGATGTGGGTCAAACTATGGAGGAGGCGGATAGCAATGCCGATACCGTGTTGATCCCGGACGTCGTTGCTCAGGGAGGACAGCTGTCGAACCCTGTCGCTGCTCCCTCTTGTGGGCCTGGGGACAGGAGTGGGATCCCGCTGGAGTTTGATGACTTCCAAAGGTTGTTTGACAGGTGGACGGAGGGGTACATCACCAGTGACGAAGTGGCGGCCCAATTCGGACAGCACACCCTGGATCTTCTCCAGACGCAGCACCTTGCCATCAAGACGGACGGTGACTCGGTGGCCCTCCAGGGCTGGCAGGCTTCGACCGAGACTATCCTGGACGCCCTGGTTGAGAGTGGAGGCCCGGATGTGGTTGATGATGGCGCTGGCAAGGTCCAAGGGGCTCAGACTGCTGTCGGAGGGGCTATGGAGACTGCTGCTGGTGGTTACGAGGACGATGGGGACCTCGATGAGAGTGCGGTCATTCTTGAAGAGGGGTTCGACATGGGCCTTGGGAGTGGTGTGGATCGTGCTCTACGTCGTCGTGGATGTCCAGGGAGCGTCAGGAAGGATCGCAGTGATCAGGGTTTGGCCTCGGTGACGTCTGACAAGAGGTGAGTTCTGAGAGAGGGTTTGTTTTGAGTGGCACTCTTGGCCTGGCTGGGGATTGTAAGTGTCCTCGCTGGAAGCTGCTTGTGTCAAATCTGCCTGCCCTAGTGGGCTCACCTGCGGACATGGTACTGTGGGAAAAAGGCCCTCAAAAAAAAAAAAACCCTAGTCGCCCTAGTCTTCCAGAGGCTGGTCGTGCAAGTGGGGGGTTTGAATTAGGCCTGAGCCACTAGGTTTAGGGTTTAGGGTTTAGGGTACGGTATAGGGTTTAGGGTTTAGGGTATAGGCTTTAGGGTATAGGGTTTAGGGTATAGGGTTTAGGGTATAGGGCTTCGGGTTTAGGGTTTAGGGTATAGGGGGTATAGGGTTTAGGGTAACAGGGTTTAGGGTTTAGGGACACCAAGTCTGATTTAGGGTTTAGAACTTGTGGTTAAGATTCAAGCTCAATCAGACACCATCCCAGGGGGAGCACTAAACGGGGGAGACCCGGCGGCACAATTGCAAAAACTTGGCATTTTTGCGGCTTACCCGCCTCTGTGCATGAAAAAGCACAAAGCCTTCAATCCCAAACCTAAACCCTAAACCCAAAAACGGCACCCGAAGCGAACACCAAATCCGTGTATTAGCGGTAAGGAGAGTTTTGGACTTTTTTTTGGTTGCGTGGAGCATGTCGAGTACGGTGAAAGTCTCACTGCTCAGTGGCAAGACAGCTACTGTGGAAGCAGGTCCTGACGAAACTGTGGAGACGTTGAAACAACGGGCACAGATCGCACTTGGAGTCGGGAGAGGGCGCCTGCTGGACACCTCCGGAGTCGTTCTGGACGGATGCGCAGAGACCTCGAATTCTGGCATTCAGAATGGCGACTCGCTGACTTTTCACCTAAGCAGCGTTCGAATTCAGTCCACTCTTCTTTCTTTTGCTACCCTTCTTGGTGACGGATCCGTCGTGACCTGGGGTCATGCTGAGTTTGGTGGTGACAGCAGTGCTGTGCAGGGCCAGCTGAATAACGTGCAGCAGATCCAAGCTTCTGAGCGCGCCTTTGCTGCCATTCTTGGCGATGGATCTGTGGTGACCTGGGGTCATGCTGACTCCGGGCGACAGCCGTGCAGTGCAGGATCAGCTACAGACTGTGTGGCAGATCCAAGCTTCTGGCAGTGCTTTTGCTGCCATTCTGGGCGACCGATCGGTTGTGACCTGGGTGGGGTGGGGTGGGGTGGGGTGGGGTGGGGTGGGGTGGGGTTCGGCTGCCTTTGGCGGCGACAGTAGAGCTGTGAAGCATCAGCTGAGGAACGTGCAGCAGATCCAGGCCTCCCGGGGCGCTTTCGCAGCCATTCTCGGCGACGGATCGGTTGTGACCTGGGGTGATGGCTTGTTTGGTGGCCACAGCTCTGGTGTGCAAGCTCAGCTGAAGAATGTGCAGCAGATTCAAGCCTCTCACCATGCTTTTGCTGCCATTCTTAGCACTGGATCCGTGGTGACCTGGGGTGCTGCCGGCTACGGTGGCGACAGCGGTGCTGTGCAGGATCAACTTACGACTGTGCAGGAGATCCAAGCCAATCGTGGCGGATTTGCCGCTATTCTTGCGAATCAATCCGTAGTGACCTGGGGCAAGGCTGTCTTTGGCGGCGACAGCGGTGCTGTGCAGGGTCAGCTGAAGAACGTGCAGCAGATCCAAGCTTCTGATCACGCCTTTGCTGCCATTCTTGGCGATGGATCTGTGGTGACCTGGGGTCAAGCCGTCAGTGGTGGCGACAGTAATGCTGTGCAGGGTCAGCTGAAAAACGTGCAGCAGATCCAGGCCTCGGGTGCTGCGTTTGCTGCCATTCTTGGCGACGGATCGGTTGTGACCTGGGGTAATGCTCACAATGGCGGAGACAGTAGTGCTGTGCAAGGTCAGCTGAAAAATGTGCAGCAGAGATCCAATCCTCTTCTGGCGCTTTCGCAGCCATTCTCGGCGACGGATCGATTGTGACCTGGGGCGATGTTCGCCAGCGTGCCAATAGTGCTGTACAGAACGAGCTAAAAACCTTGCTATAATCCGTGGTTGCTTGGTAAGTCTTTGAGCTTCTAAGTGGTGCTGGCAAGGTGTAGTGCAGTGCATCAATCGCAGCAAAAGATTGGGAGACTGGGCTCGAAGCTGACAAGGCACTGGCAACATGTGCAAAGTCCTAAGCCATAGGGCGGTTTAGGGTTTAGGGTATAGACAAGCCTGAAGATTCAAAGACCTTACACCCCGTCCACAGTTTAGGTCGGGCGGGAGGGAAAACGAAAGCTTGATGGTCTCGATGGTCTCGGATTGAGATTTCACAACGTCTGCAGCTTGGGGAAGCGACCTCACCTAACACCGAGTTCCGAATCCAGTGGTTTAGGGTTTAGGGTTTAGGGTTTAGGGTTTAGGGTTTAGGGTTTAGGGTTTAGGGTTTAAGATTCATGCCTCAACCTTTTGTTATCAACCGGATTTGGGCAGGAATGCCAACCAACCAAACCGTGTGAAATGCAAACACGGCCTTCCGGCCGGTCGTGGTTGCAACAGAAAGAAAAGTATGCAAGCAGACTATTTTCCTAAATCTAACGCCAAATCACCTGAATCTTAAACCCAAGTAAACGCCCTGAACCCTTTGCTCACCCCAGATGTCACAGCGTATTTTTTGTGTATTAGGGCTTCTTGCAGGGTGAGTTTGGCTGTTCCTCTAGTAGGGCTTTTGGTCACAGAGAGTCGAAACCCTATTATAGGGGCCTTGCTAATTACCTGTACTATTCTGGGGGTTCCTTATTATAATTATAGTAGAATAGACCCCAAAACCCTAGCCCAATTTATTAAGGCACCTATATCAATCCCAAAACCCAACTCCCTTCCGGAGCTGGGTCATTTGGGGATATTCGAGGGTTGCCGCTGCGAGTTCGGTTTATGGTTTAGGGTTTAGGGTTTACAGATTTGAAGGCACGGAGCTTTGCGGGCTACGGCGGGGTTTGATGCCCAGGCCACAAACAACCTTGTATTTATTCGTCTTGCCGTTCGAGGTATCCATCAAGTAATATAGGGGCCTGAAGTAGAATAGGGTGTTTTGGGGTATAGTATACTACAGTTATAATAAGGAACCCCCCCAAACCCTATTCTAATATTGAAGGCCCGTCCATTAGGACTTCATAAACCCAAGACCCTACTCAACACTTAGTAGGAGAAATTTTACTACCGCATGACGATCCTTCGAATCCGTTTCGAAGTAGATCCATCGACCCTTGCCCCTTACACCCTGAGCCCAAAGCCCCTAAACCGTAAACCCTAAATCCCAAGCCCGAAGCCCCAAAGCTTAAAGCCTGAACCCCGAAAACTCCCAGCCCTAAGCCCTGCAACCCTACAGACTAGAGGTCTTGTCGAGAAGGATGGTACCCAAAGACTCCAAGCCCCCTTAATTAAGGAATATACCTTAAATCATATTAGGGATCCTACCGTAATCTAAGGTCTATTCCTTAACTAAGGGGTACGGGAGTCTCTGGGTAAGAGGTGCATTATATCCTTGGTGTCACGCCCGAAGCGCTTAAAGGAGCAGGATGCCCCAAAGTGACCTCACCTTAAAGGGTTTAGGGTTTAGGCTTTAGGGTTTGCAGGGTTTAGGGAGTTTAGGGAGTTTAGGGAGTTTAGGGAGTTTAGGGAGTTTAGGGTTTAGGGAGCTTAGGGAGTTTAGGGTTTAGGGCTTATGCGTAAGGTTTAGGGTTTAGGGAGTCTGGGCGATCCCTGATATCCCCAAAGGGTCCAAAGTACCTGTATGGTAGAATGAAGGGTTGCTATATTGGGAATCCTTATTATGATTTGGGAAAGTCCCTTGACCCTAAACCCTAAACCCTAAACCCGACCGAACCCCCAAGGAACTTACGGCGGAATGGCTATGGATCAGACCTGGTGCGATTCTGAGCTTCGGGATGCGAATAGCTCAGAGCTTATAGGGTTTAGGGTACAGGGCTTTATAGGGCTTATAGGTCTTATAGGGTTTAGGGTTTAGGGTTTCGGGTTTTGGGGCTTACAGGGCTTATAGGGTTTAGGGTATGGGGTTTACAGAGTTTATAGGGTTTAGGGTTTATTTCCGGGGGTTGGGTTAAATGGAGTTGTTGGAGGGTTTGAGCTTCAGTTTTGGAGTTTCTGGGAGTTTGCAGAGGCTTCAGACTTTTGTTTCAGCGTGAGAAATGCACCCGACTCATGGCAGTTTCTTCGCCCTCGTAGAATAGTGGCCGCAGCTCAACCTAGCGGATTCCACAAGTTGGCGCAAGAGGCTGAATCCCAGAACCTACGTCCTTTAAACCCACACACCAAAACTCAGCAGCAACCCTACATGCTGAATCCCGGTAAAGAGAACCCTCACTATAGGAACCCTAAAGGAAAGCAGTATGTTGAACCGCACATTGCAAACTTAAGCCCAAACCGTTAAAGTCGAGATCCTAAACGCACTCAGAGGACCCCTGAAAGAACCGCGGCTCCAAAGGAACCTGAAACAACGCCAGACGAAATCTCCCCTAAACCCTAAGCCTTAAAACCCAAACCCTAAACCCTAAACCCTAGACCCTAAACCCTAAACCCTAAACCCTAAACCCTAAGCCCTAAACCCTAGCGAAACCGAGAAGCCGCCTGAGACCCTTCCGGGAGCCCTTCAAGGAACCCCTGAAAGCCCCAACGCCCGAACCCCTGAACCCCTACAAGGCCTAAATCCCAAACCCAAAAGGAACCATAAACCCTAAACCCTAAATCCCTAAACCCTTCGTAAATCTTCAAAAACAGGAACCCTATTATAGAACCCGACGAACGATCATGGAACACTTAAGGGAGCCTTATTCTGGAGCCCTATAAGCGGACCCCTCTTCTAGAACCCATAAAGGAACTCTGGACCCTCAACCCGGCGGCACCCTTTGAGTGGAACCCCTTTTAGTGGAACCCCATAGCTGGAAACCCATGAATGGAACCTAAACCCCAAACCCTAAACCCTAAACCCGACACCCCAAACCCCAAACCCTAAACCCTAAACCCTAAACCCTAAACCCTAAACCCTAAACCCTAAATCCCTAAGCCCTTGCTGAAGGCCATGGACGGCATGCAGGCCAGCCGGCTCGCTCAGCGACCCGAGGTGCCGGTTAATCAGGAGTCCACTGAAGGGTTCCCAGAGTCCTTAAAGGGTTCCGGGTTTAGGGAGTTTAGGGTTTTGGGTTCAGGGTTCCTCCTGAGGATTGCTTTCAAAGGCGGGCGCCCCTTCAGCTTTGGTAGGCTGTTATAAGGCTTCTTGGGGGCTTACAAGCTTGTGAGATTTTGGGAGAGGGGCTTCTGAAGGTCTTATTGGATGTCGACGGCACCTCCGTCGAGTTTTTGAGGTTGCCGAAACTGGGGTACGGAGGTGCAAATGGCGGGATCCCTACATGCCCTTTCCCCCTCTAAACCCCCTAAACCCCTAAACCCCAAAACCCCTAAACCCACTTAAAAAGAAACCCTAAACCCTATACCCTAAGCCCTAAACCCCTAAACCCTAACATCCTAACCCCTAAACCCCAAACCCCAAACCCCTCGTCTTCCCGAAACCCCTTGCACTCACGACGAAGACCCTGCCTAAGCCCCATGCCATGGAAATCCCAAATCCCAGCCTCCAAACCCTAAACTTTGGGGTTTGGAGGTTAGGATTTGGGATTTCCAGGGCATGGGGTTTCAAATGCCCTGAACCCTGAAAGGGCAACAGCAAACTTTAGGCTTTGGGGTTTAGGGTCGTGCCTACATCCTACATGGATAGAGAACTAGTTTTAAATCCCCAATATAGTACGGCACCCTTATAAAAACAGTATGGTAAGGACCCTCAAAGGGACCCTAATTTAGAGAACTACCTGCATCCTACATATATGGGTAGTTGTCAAAATTATGGTCCCTTTTGGGGTACCCTAAATAATAGGTGCCGTATAATAAGGACCCAAAAAGGGACCATAATGTTGACAACCACCCATATTTCTACGGGTTTAGGGTTTAGGGTTTAGGGTTTAGGGTTTAGGGGACTCCCAGACCCATGTCCTCACCATCCAACAGCCCAGAGGTTGAACACGCAAGACTCTTCAGCCGACAGCAGAAGGAGTACACACAAAACCCTAAATAGGTAGTTCTCTAAGTTAGGGTCCATTTTAGGGTCCCTTCTACAAGGGTGCCATACTAAGTTTGGGAGCAAAAAGGGACCCTTATTTAGAGAACTACCCAAATCCCAAACCCCGAAACGCGCTAAACTCTAAACCCCAGGTACACGAGACCACCCTAAACCCTAAACCTAAACCCTAAACCGTAAACCCTAAACCCTAAACCCTAAACCCAGCCCTAAGCCCAAAATCCCGGTACAACCTGGGTCATCGGCCCGAGGGCCAGTAAGGAAAAGACGAAGAACATAGCACACACTCCTGGACCTGTTCAATACGGAATATGCTGTTAACATGCAACTAGGATTCTGTTAGGTTTTCAAATTAGGGTTTAGGGTAAGGGTTTAGGGGATTCTGTTAGGTTTTCAAGGTATATCTTCCTTAGTTCGCACCCTCAACAAACGGCGGAACCATTCCTGTTCCGCCCTTATGGAGTCTTGTAGAACCCCCATAGAGGAACCCTTATGCAAATCCTCGTAAAGCTTTCCTAGACGGCACGACCCGTTTTCGGACGACCGTTTCCCGAAACCCTAAACCCTAAACCCTAAAGCCTTTGTGCAGGGCTATGGGATCTTGCTCATCTCCTCGCTGACGCCTGCGGATCAGCTCCGTTCCGTCTCCTACGCGGCTGGGCCCCCCAGGGGCTGTTTCTTCATTATTTTCGAGTTTGAAAAACTACACTTCTTTTTGGTACTGAAAAGCTGCACTTCCAGAGCACCATTTTCCATGCGTTCGTATCACTGGTTTTGGTATTCGCAGGGTTTGCATGGGATGTCGCGGCTTTTTTTGAGTGGAATTATTTACAGGATGTCGAAAGGCCTCGTGTTACCCACCCTGAAGCCCGAAGGGGTCAACGTCCTCTGAGCGGCAAGAAAGCTTTTGCACATGCTTACCTGCACCCTGGACGCTGTGTCCCATAAGCTAGAACCCTAGAGCTCTAATCCATCGCCCGTTTACGTCGTTTGCCTGTTTGAAACAACCTTCAACACCACCTGTCTCAAACCCAAGCTTCAACCCCGCGCTCTATACCTGAACCCTAAATCGAAAACCAATAGACCACGAAAGCACCCATTCAAGACTGCGCTCCATCCTGTAGAGGACCCCCAAACTGGGGACATGATCCCATGCTGAACCTTTATTGACGAAAGCCAGTAATTCATGGTGCCAGTTCATGTCGTGAGAGACTGTGAAGATTATGCTTGCATGGTTTTGTTTGGTTGCCCAGACAAGGCTACGAAGGATCGTCTCAAGCACTTTCTTACTTGCCATCGCGCATTACAGCGTCGTTGCGTTAGAAAAGATAGATTTCGGTGTCCTCGTGAGTTCGTCTGAACAGGTGTTTGCTGCTATTCAAGCAGTCCTTGTAGGAACCGCGTTCAAGTCCCTATTGTGTTCACTAAGGCCGCCTATGCTAAGCCCTTATAGTAGCCCTTGATAGAATCGTTACGGGAACCCTAAACCCTAAACCCGTAACCCTAAACCCTAAACCCAAAGCCCTAAACCCTAAACCAAAAACCCTAAATCCCTAAGCCCTAAGCCCTAAACCCAAAGCCCTATTCCAATCGGGACGGCTCCTTCGGTATGTTGTTCGCAGCAGATACGGAGCCGGCAAAGAGCCGCCATCATTTTGGCCTTTGACTCCACTCTGCTGAGCGAGGTGGGCGCCCCTTACAAAAGGTTTTAGGGTTTAGGGTTTAGGGTTTAGGGTTTAGGGTTTAGGGTTTAAGGTTTAGGGTTTAGGGTTTAGTGAGGGTCCCCAAACCCCCAGACCCCTAAGCCTTCTTTTGGTGCACGGTTTTGGGGGTCAGGGGTTCAGGGGTTTAGTGTCTACAGTTTGGGGGCGGTTCTTCGACTCAGGCAGGTGTCGACGGGCTCTGAACAAGGTTCTATTCGGGGCTTAATATGGGGCTTAGACTTGTTGGGTTTACCCTACCCTAAACCCTAAACCCTAAACCCTAAACCCTAAACCCTAAACCCTAAACCCTAAACCCTAAACCCTAAACCCTAAACCCTAAACCCTAAACCCCACACCGTGAGCCCTAAACCCTAAGAGTCGGCACTGATTCCTAGACGATGACGAGGTTTGCAAGCCTATGCTCGAGGCCCTCCGAACATTCAGCGAAGGTCACGCTAGGGACCCAGTGGATGGTTGGGGTTGAGGGTGTAGAACTTCCGACTTTACAGTAGGGGGTAGGGTTTAGGGTTTAGGGTTTAAGGTTTAGGGCTTAGGGTTTGGGGTTCAAGGTTTAGGGTTTAGGGTTTAGGGCTTAGGGTGTAGGGCAGAGGGGGCTATGCCTTTGTCGAAAAGAGGTCTCTCTCTCGGGGATTAGAGGTGTAGGGATGGACCCGAAACCCCAGACCCTAAACCCCTGCCTGGACTCTGGGAAGAAGGGGCTCCCAAAAAAACTTAAACCCCCAAACCCTAAACTCTAAACGCAAAACCCTAAACCCCAAGCCCTAAGCTTTTGGGATTTCTTTTTGGGGCTTTTGGGGCCCTCTTTTTTGTGGCAGGAGGAGGCCGAAGAGCGGAAGCAGTTCCTGCAGGAGACTCTCGGCGTCACAGGGGACTCTGGGGAGGGTTCCCCCTCAAAAGGGGTTTCATAAAGGAAGGGGTTTAGGGTTTAGGGGTTTAAGGCTCAAAAGGCATCAAAGAAGGGCCCTAGAAAGGGATCTATAGGGGGTTCCCCCTTAAAAGGTTCCATAAAACAAGGGGTTTAGGGTTTAGGGTTTAGGGTTTAGGAAGGGATCTACAAGGGGTTCCCCCTAAACCCTGAACCGCCGTAAAAGAAGGGCTCTAGAAAGGGATCTTGAAGGGTTCCCCTAAACCCGAAACCCCTGAAAGGTTCCATAAGAGAGGGCTCTACAGTAGAACAAATTAGCCCGAAACTTGGCATCATTCTAGCCTCGTATGCCCTACAGCCCTAACTTAATTATGAAGGCTCCCCTACTAAGCCCTGAAAGGGACTCTTCAAGGGAACATGAATGCCTGAAGCCCTAAACCGTACACCCAAAAGCACTATCCTCTAGCCCGAATTACCCCCTAAACCCCAAGCCCCAAACCCTAAACCCCATATTGCAAGCCTCAGGTTCAAGCTTTGCCCCACAGAAAGGCCTAAGACGGTGCCCTATATCCCTGAACCTTGCAGCCTCTGCCTCAAACGCTGTAAGTGTTAGTCGTAGTTCCTAGATAGTATACTATAACAAAACCCTAGAATCAGTTTCCAGTTGTTAAAACTTCGTTTTACCTTGTAAGAATTGCTTTAAGGAGCTCTACACAGCCAGCCCCATTCGAATTGTTAATGTCTCTGTTTTTCTGGATAAGAGTTGTGTCAACCCCTTTGAGAAACCTATTCTAAACCCACACCCTGCAACCTCGTTAACAACCCCTAGCCCGAAAACGATAAGCTCTCAACTCCAAACCCACACTCCGAACACTAAACCCTCGCCCCCTATAAAACCTTAAGTCCTAAGCTAACCCCAAATCCTTAAGCCACTGAACGCTATAAGCCCTAAACCCCTGCACCCTAAACTCCCCAAATCCTTAAGCCCCTCAATCCCTTTAGCCCCTAAACCCTATAAGCCTATAAGCCCCGAAACCCCTAAACCCTAAGCTAACCCTAAATCCTTAAGCCCCACCCTGTGGCCTTCCCCAAGTTCAACCCTGAACCTTAAACCCTAAACCCTATTCCAAGGTGCTCCTACGTTTTCCCCTATGGGCCCAGCTACACGGCGCGCACCCTCTGGAGAGTTTTTCGGGATTCAGAGGTGTCCGTAAGATCCCCAAGACCCAGAATTAGGTTGGTTTGGGTTTAGGGCTTAGGGTTTAGGGTTTAGGGTTTAGGGTTTAGGGTTTAGGGTTTAGGGTTTAGGTTTTGCACGGTTTTGAGGGTCCAAGGAGCCCAGGAACTGGGTAATGGATAGCAGAAGTGCTCGTATTTCGAGGAGGATAGTAGCAGTAGGTACACTAAACCCTGGACTGCAAACTGTTAATTTCCGAAAGCACTCAACACCTACTTGCACCCGTTGGGTTTGCACTTAAAACGATTCCACGAGGATCCAGAAAGCTGAACTCTGGAAACATGTCGTCCACATAATCCTAAGTTCCTAAATAGTAGTAGTAGTAGTAGCAGTAGTAGTAGTAGTAGTAGTAGTAGTAGTAGTAGTCCAAAAACAGAAGGGCTCGCTGAACTCCCCTCTCTTGTGGTTTGGGTTCAGGGTTTTGTAGGGTTTAGGGTTTGTAGGGTTTAGGGTTTGTAATTAGGTAATCTCTAAGCCTCCTAGACCCCCAAAACCCCAAACCCCCAAAATGAACCCCAAACCCTTGACCCTAAACCTTAGACCCGAACTCCTGAACTCTAATTAAACCCTAAACCCTAAACCCGAGTCCCCAATCCACAAGGATGGGATCCCTGTTGCAAAGATCCCCTGAACAAGGGAGCCCCTAAACCCTAAACCCTAACCTTAGTTCAGCTTTTGTGACAGGGTCTGGCTGCCGTTCTCGCCCGCTTCGACGTGACGCATGCAGCCTGCGGCCCAGACTCTGCACCGGCTAGGAGGCTTTTCGGGGGTTCTTGGAGAGGGTTTAGGGTTTAGGGTTTAGTGGAATTTATTTTGGGAGGGGTTCAGGGTTTAGGGTTGGGGGTCACGGGTTTTTTGGGCTTTTCTTTTTCTTGACACTAGTGTTTGGGATTTTCGCGGCGTTGTAGTTGGAGCTTCGGCTTAGATCCTGGCTTTTGTCTTCGGTTGTTCTGATGTAGGCCCTGATCCTCTAAGCGGCAATGGTCGTTGGTGACAGTCTGACGGTACCCTAAATCCTAAACCCTAAACCCTAAACCCTAAACCCTAAACCCTAAACCCTAAACCCTAAGATGCTTGCCAGTCGTGCCTTGGTTGTCATGACAAAACCAATCATGCTCGAAACCCCCGCAAGCCCCAAACCCCAAAGACTCTAAACCCAAATCCGCAAGCCTGAAGCCCTAGACCCTGAACCCTAATCCCTAAACCCTACAACCCTACAACCCCGGACACTAAACCCTGAAACCCTAAACCCTGTTCCCTGTTAGTGTCCTCAGGAGATCCGCAGCTTCCTCCAAAGTGGAGTCTACGAGCGTCGGCACCCTGACTGACCAAGGATAACCTAGGGTTTAGAGGTTCAGGGGTTGGGGTTTAGGGTTTACGGGTTGCGGGTTTAGGGTAGATGGGGTCTGAGCTTTCGGATCTTGTAGCACAAGGGTGCTACAAGGGTACTGTAAGGGTGCTATAGGGCTCAGGGGTTTAGGAGTGTCGGGTTGAGGGGTTTGGAAATTAGGCTTTCTAGGGTTTAAGATTTAGGGTTTGGTCTATAATTTTGGCATGTGAGTTTGTGTCACTGTTGCCGCTGAGCAGCAGCTTTGGATTTCTGCTGCATCCATCATAGCATAGCACAATATAACATAACCTCTAGGTAGTATTAGGGAGATCCCTCAAAGGGGACCCTCTGAACCCTACTTGTGGCTCTCTTAACAGGGACCTTATTGAGAGGGTCTAAATCCCCAAGGGTCCCCCTAATCCTATCTCCTAAATAACGTCAGTCATCTATTATGGGACAGTAGTATAACATGATGCAAAATATGACTGTATGTAACGTAACAACACAGAACAGAGTGTAACATACTACAACCTACATTTAAAGAGTATATGCCCTAAACCCCTACACCCTAAACCCTAAACCCTAAACCTTAAACCCTAAACCCTCAACCCGAAACCCCTAAACCCCTGAACCCCTATACCCTAAACCCTAAATCCTAAACCCCTAAGCAGTTTAAAGACAATATCTCTGCCTAGGACATTTTCAGGTGGATAGTCACCGTTAGCTTTATATACCTTTTTTTCCTAAACTCCCCACCTGTAGTTTCCTTTAACATAAACCCTGAAACCCTAAACCCTAAACCCTAAACCCCTAAGCAGTTTAAAGACCATATCTCTAGTTACTCTAAACCCTAAACCCTAAACCCTAAACCCCTAAACCCCTAAAACCCTAAACCCTAAACCCTAAACCGGTTACCCGAGGATGCTAGAGCTGCGGGACACCGCGCAGATTGCGCTGGACTGGGTGGAGCCTCGCCCGGGCAGGGTGCCTTGGAGCCGAAACACTGCGTTTCGAGTTTAGGGTTTAGGGCTTA